GATTCCAGCTACCTTTAGGGACTTAATTTACATGTCCACCCAGACTGAGACCCTCCATCCTCAGGACCTCGTGGGAGCCGGGCCTGGTAACTGTGGCCTATAATCCCAGCATTTGGGAGGCGGGAGAAGGAGGCTCACAAGTTTGAGGCCAGCCCAGTTTGCATGCTAAGGCCCTGTCTTAAAATAACAACAGTGAGAACAAACACAAAAACCACCGAAGTCTAGAGGTGTAGCCCAATTGATAGAGAGCGTGCCTCAGCTGTGCAAACTTAATCCCAACAGCAAATAAACAGGGTGTCTGGCACTTGCCTGTAATCCCAGTGTCAGTGTCGAAGAGGTGGAGACAGGAGGATTAGAAATTCAAGGTCACCCTCGCTACTTAGCAAGTTAGAAAAGTCTGGACTACATCCTAAAACAAAACAAAAAAAAATATAGACCTCAGGGCACAAAATCATCTCACCCAAGGTGACAATTCTGCAGTGACAGAAGGAGAAAGGGTGGAGGAAGCCTGGAGCCCAGCCCTGTCTCCTCGAGATCCCTGGCAATTAGGTTAGACTTTAAAAACACTGCTGTGCCGAGCCAAGGTCGCCCGGGGAGCAGCGCCAGCCTTCTGATCGATGTGCATTAGACAGGGCAGATGTAGCAGTGGCATAATTGACAGTTCAGTGAGTAATGATGAAATTACATTCTCTGACTCATACTATATTGTCAAGGCCTAAGGGCATAGTTTCAATTAAAAGTGGTTTCGAATCCATTCTCGGTGTCTGAAAATCATCTGAGGCTTTGTTCATACCTCTGCTGCCTTCCTCCAGTGCTGACCATGCTAACTCTGTCTTTCTGTTCTGGAAGGCCCAATAGATTCACCCTTCATTGGCCCATCCCATCAATGGGAGTTTCCCTCCCTCCCCCCTCTTTCTCCCTTCCTCCCTTTCTTTCTCTTTTCTTTTCCTTCCTCGTTTCTTTCTGGCAGTCTCAGTAACTAGGTTGGCCTTGAACTCACTGTGAAGACAAGAATGACCTTGATCTTCTATCATCCTGCTCCTGCCCTTGCCCTTGGAGTGCTGGGATTACAGGCATTGAACACCCTGCTTGGGTTTTTGTTGTTGATTCATTTATTTTAAATGAGCTAGGGATCTAACCCCAGGATTTCTGTACAGGGCAGGCACTCTTCCAATAGAATTCCATCCCCAGCCACCACTGGGTGTTTTCTAAGCCAGCCACTCCTAGCAGGTGTCTTGATACTTTCTTCAAGGACATACCAGAAGCATCAGAAGCATTCTTTGAGTTACGAAACACTGCCAATAATTTTTATTGGCCAATTTCAATTGGTAGCAAAAGAACAAGTGTTCCCAGGATTTTTAAACAACAACTAAAACCAGAGGGTGCTGTTTGTTATTTGAACATGGAATGGAGCAAAGCCAGCTGCCGTGTTCTTTGTCTTCTGTTCCCAACTAAACAAGCAAAGGAGAGAGATGGGGATATATTGGTCTGAACTGTTTTCACTCATAACCCTTCTGATACTAATTGTGTGGGGGTTTCCCTTCCAAGAACTCAGCCTCCAACTCTCCGGATGCCAGATGGTCATCCTACGATCTTGTCCAATTCTGATGATACTCAAAGTTAGTATCAGAAGCCACGGTTTGAAGGCTGAGCATAAGAGCCAAGAAAGTATTAGAGGAAGGGATGGCCAGAGAGATGACTCAGAGGTTAAGAGCACTGGCTGCTTTTCCAGAGGACCTGAGTCCAATTCCCAGAATCTACATGACAGCTCACAACCATCTGTAGTTCAGTCCCAGGAGACTGATGCTTCTCTTCTGGGGCTGTACAAAGGCGCTGTACAGACACGCATGCAGGCAGAACACTCATATATATAGAAGAAAACAATTTAAAGAACTCTAAAGTATTTGGGGCAGTGGTATCTAGCCCGATGACTTGTATTTGATCCTTGGGCCCCCCGTGCGGAAAGGAGAGAGCCGACTCCCACAAGGTGTCCTCTGACCTCCATATGTCTGTGGCAGGTGTGTGCCCACACACATACACACAAACACAAGTGAAATAAATCTAAAAAGAAAAGAAAGACAAATGTTGAGTGCCTAACCTATCCACACTTCTGTCCAAAGTGGCTATAAAATCAGATGTCCCTCTCTTCTTAAACCTTGCCTTCATTTCAATGTTCAGTTACTTACTAGAATAACCCAGAACTGGAGATGGCCATTTACTTAGTATCACAACGTTTTATTATGAAAGGTTTGAGTCGGGAGTGACCACTGGGAGCTGTATAAGGATAGCTAAGTGTGAGTGGGGCAAGGAACTTCTCTGCCCTCTGGGTTTACCAACTGGGAATCAAACGGAATTTTATCCTAAGTTATTTAAATGGAGGCTTTCTTGCACACCCATAGTGGATCAAAGCATTCATTATAGATGTTCAACTGCTCTTGCCACTGGTCCAGGGACTTGGACTGAGGGTACCAATCCCCTACTCATGTCTTTCCAGCCACCAGCTCCCAGATTGGAGCCTCAGTTCCCAACTATCTCACCTGCTTAGAAGTGACCCTCATCAGTCTGAAGGCCTAGGCGAAAACTTAAATGAAAGACCAAATACTCTATGTATGCCTTACAGTGTGCCCATCAGCAATGTAGCCTATGAATGAATGGGTTCACTGGGGTAGAGGTGCCAACTGGGAGGGGGGGGGGATGGTGCATCTCAGCAGACACCTGCTCTGGCTCTACTACGGCAACTGGGATGACACACCTGATGTGTGCATTCTGTGTGACAGGCCCCCAGACCTTAGCACAACTGTCTCCATGATAGAAATACCTTTCAGGCTGTAAAACAAGCACAGAGACTGCACTGAGACAGCACCACCACCAAAACAAAACAAAGACCTAACCCATCAAAATCCGTAGTTCTGGGGATGTCTCTAAATGTACTATAGCCTTCCTTTTTGGCTTCTGTAGTTCCTCCTCTGGCTAATTAACTTAATTAATCTTGTTAACTGAAGTATGTCAATGCAGGCCATGCTTTTGTGCTTAAAAGCTCACCCTGAGAAAGGCTTGGAGCTTTAGGATCCTGAACACCCAGTGTTGTTGCTGGTAGGCTAATAAAGTCTTTCTGATGACTTAAACCCTTGTCCAAGCAGTCTTCTCTGGTGGATACCCCACAACAGTCTGTCTGACAAATTCTTTTTAAAAACATTTGTGTGTGTGTGTGTGTATGTGCGCATGTGAGTGTGCATGTGTGTATGTGTGTAGAGGTCAGTGGAAAACTTGTGAAAGTCAGTCCTCTGCTTCTACCATGGGGCAGACATCCAACCCTGGAAGTCAGGGCTGGCAGCAGGGGCTTTTAGCCACTGGGCCATCTTTCTGATTCTTGACCTACTCTTTATCTGGACCAACTGGCCAGAGATGAAGTTGTCATCAGTGACAACCAAGCCCATGAGGCTAAGTCCACCTCCACTTCACATCACAATCCCAGCAGGGGAAAGGTCAGAGGGAGTAGACCGTCACTCACAGCACGGAAGCTGGATCTCTCCCATAAACCTCAGCCTCTACTCCCAAGACAAACTGGGGTCTATGCTTCCAACAACAGTGGTCTGACGACTCATCTGACCTGTTCTCAGGCAAGATCCCTTTGCTGTTAGCTCAGAAAGTTTCACAGCTGAATACAATGGGTCAAAGCCAAGCAAGCAGGAAGAAAAAGTGAGAGCAGAGATTCATTACCTGCTGCAAGTGCCGGAACTCTTCCTGGAGCAACATGCTCCTCGAACAAAGCAGGTAGGAGGTTTATCCAAGGGGCGCCCATGTTCAAGAAAGTACTCCATGAGAGTCTCATTCCTGAGCATGCTCCCAAAGGTCATAGTTCAATCAGGGAACATCACAGATGCACATTTTCAGTTTACATTCTAGCACAGATATTTGAAAACCTATTCTGGCAATCAGGAGCATATCTATCTGGTCATGCTTAGCTCATACAGTAAAGAGGGTGGACAGTGCCCTCACTGGCATGTGCATCTCAAACCGTAAAGTTCTAGATGGGAACAGGCACTTTGAAGGTAAGACTTTGCCCTTAGAGGTGCCTGTCTCATGTGGTGCTAACAAACCTCCGTTTGAGACTCACTCCTCATTCTTGAGGGGATCAGGATAGAGGTCATTTCACTACTTAGCAGTGGAGGGGAGGGCCTTGTACCTTCATAATTAATTGACTGTAACTTGTTTTGTTAAAGTTACACATACTTATCTGTATACGTGTAGGTATATGGGCATGCGTGCCTTGGCACATGTGTGGAAGGCAGAGGACAGCTTTTGGGAATTTCTTTTCTCCATCTGGAACGTGGGTGCTGGGACTGAATTCAGGCCGTTAGGCTGGAAGCCACCTTTGTCCTAAGTTACGTCTGCTTCCTTGCTGACTCAGTTTCCACATCAGCATGTGTTTCAGGGCTCCTTCTCCGTGGAAGCATTCTATTGATCTATTTATTTATCTATTTGTTTGTTTGCTTTGGTTTTTCGAGACAGGGTTTCTCTGTAGCTTTGAAGCCTGTCCTGAAACTAGCTGTTGAAGAGCTGGCCTCGAGCTTACAGAGATCCACCCGCCTCTACCTCTGGAGTGCTGGGATTAAAATAGCTGGCATGTGCCACTACTTGTTTGTTTGTCTTTCAGGACAAGATTTCTCTGTATAATAGCCCTGGCTGTCCTGGAATTCACTTTGTAGACTAGGCTGGCCTCGAACTCACGGAGATCCGCCTGCCTCTGCCTTCTGAGTGCTGGGATTAAAGGTGTGCGCTGCCACCACTTGGCCTATACAGCATTTTTAAAGGCCCAAGCTTGAGTTTCTCTTTGGGGGCAGCTCAGATGCAAACAAGAGCAAGAGGTAGAAGTTTTTTTATTTTATTTTATTTTCAAGACAGGGTTTCTCTGTAGTTTTTGGTGTCTGTCCTGGAACTAGCTCTTGTAGACCAGGCTGGCCTCGAATTTATGGAGATCCGCCTGCCTCTGCCTCCTGAGTGCTGGGATTAAAGGCGTGCGCCACCACCGCCTGGCAAGAGGAAGAAACTTTATTCAGTTTTTAATGAGCTTTTTGATCCAGTTTGGCCATTGTAACCTTAAGTGTACAGCTGACTCGGTTTTGTGGGATGACTGAAGTCTCCATGTCATATGTCACCTGTTTAACCCCTGGGATCTGGAAAATTCAACACATAGTCATTAACATAAAAGTGGCCCCCACTGTCTTTTAAAGTCCATTTTTAACTCTTCCTGTTTTTTCTGTCCTGCTTCTATCTAGCCTGTATAAGTATCCACTGGGGCTGGAGGGGTAGCTCAGTTGCTAGAAAGCTTGACTCACATGTAGGAAGCCCTGGACTTGACTGACTCCCAGCACCACATAAACTAGGCATGGGAGGGCATACCTATAATTCCAACACTTGGGAGGTAAAGACAAGAAGGGCAGAAGTTCAGGATTATCCTCAATCACATAGGAAGTTAAAGGCTTGCCCGTGCTGGAGATCCTGTCTCAAAAAAGAAAATGAAAAAAATTCATAAAATCGAAGAGCTATTAAATTCTTCTGGGACAGCCGGCATGGCTGTAAACACCATGTGTCAAGCTCTTTCCAGGCAACACGACTTTGACTTGCTTGTCTTTCCCGACGGGCACAGGTGGCTCACTGATGATGTCATGCTCTAGCAGTTTGGATGTGTGAGCTTTAATCGGGTCTTCTTTAAATGTGACACCTTTATTACTCCTAGAAGTTGGCCTACACTGTGTCTTTTCTCTGTAAGTCGAACTATAAGCAGAGTTAACGATCACTTAGGCCAACCTTTCTATCTTATCTTGTTCTTTTTGCCTTCCCAATATCTTCTCTTTTTTTTTTGTTTAAAACTTTTCTTTTTTTTAAGATTTATTTATTTATTTATTTATTGTGAATACAATATTCTGCCTGCATGTGTACCTGCACCCCTGAAGAGGGCACCAGATCTCATGATAGATGGTTGTGAGCCACCACGTGGTTGCTGGGAATTGAACTCAGGACTCTGGAAGAAGAGTCAGTGCTCTTAACCGCTGAGCCATCTCTCTAGACCCCAATATCTTCTTCTGTGTAGGAAGCAGCAGATTTATAGAGAGGCAGAGGTGTATATAAAGGCAGCTGGTGAATTCTGTCAGCCCAAACCGCATGCTTGGTGGCACGGTCTCTCAGTATTTACACTTTTCTTTATTCTTGAACAATGATATATGATCATAGCTAGTGTTATTTCCATCCTCCGACTCCCATTTTACCCCCACTACGCATCCTCCTCCCCATCCATCCCTTTTCTTCTTCTGATAACCCACTAAGTCCAGCTAGTGCTGCCCATGTGTGCACAGGTGTGGGACTATCCTCCCCCTCCCGCCCCCCCCACCCGGAGCCTAGGAATCCACCAGTGACACCCCCCAGATAGAATGATTCTTGCTCCCTAAGCATCTCTCAGCTGCCAGTAACTCCTCATGAAGGCGCAGGGTCTGAGTGTGATGTCATCTCTCCAGCTGGGCTGGGATTTGGGCTGGCACTTGGGTCTGTGTAGGGCAGGGAACCACAGCTGTCAGTGAGTTCCTGAGTTTATGAGCCGTGTTGTGTCCTTAAGGGAGTATTTCACAGTGTTCTTCCCAATCCTCTTACATTCTTCCCACCTCCTCTTCCTCAATGTCCCTCAAATCATGATTGGGGGGGGGGTCCTGTCATTTTGAGTCTCCTCTCTGATGCCTTTGCAGTGTCCAGCTGATACTTTGATGGTTCATTACCGCCTGGAGCAGTAAGGACCGCCTTTCCTTACTCAGTTTCTTTCCAATGGCCTTCAGGAAAATCCGCCTCTTTCCAGAATTAACAGGAATCATAAGAAAGTACATCTACATCGGTCTATACAGCTAATGCCCTCTCTTTTCTTAATTCTGGTGCCAAAGTCAGGTCTGTTGTCTCAGCTGAACAGAAATTGTGTCAGATCAATATGCTAATTTGACATTTGCCATTAGCTGTGGAATTGCTCAAGTCAACGTACCACGAAGGGCCCTTGGGCTTGCGTATACATGAATTATTAGCTCCAAGCAGTCCTGTATTTGGGACTCTGTCATCGAATACATACAAGTTTAGAGAATGACTAGATTAGGTGTCTGGCAATGTGCTTCAAGTCAGGTGTAACTGTTCCTGGTATTGTAACATTTACCTACCAGATGGCCATTTTGCTTCAGATGATTAGAAACCTGACCTGGGCTCTAGACTGTCCATGACTGCCCTGTAGTCTAGTAGATCCCTGTCTGGGGGTGGGGGTAATGAGACGCTTACGAATCTCTAGAAGTGTGTGAGGGTTAAAGGTGCATGAAGACCTGGGTTCAGGTCCCAGCTCTGCAAAGTGATTTTGGTGGTGGAATGCTGTGAGTTCAAGGCCAGCCTGGTCTACAGAGAGAGTTCCAGGACAGCCATCGCTACACAGAGAAACCCTGTCTTGAAAACCAAAATACAAAAAATGTATTTGACTCTAATGTTCAGTAAAATTCAATATTTCTCTCTAGTTATAATAAAGGTAACCCAATATTCTTCATGGGAAATCTAGACTGTACTAAAGGGAGTCAGAGAGGGCATGGAACCTTTAACCCCCAACGCAAATGCAAAAAATAAAATAAAAAAGTAAAAAAGGATTAAGAGAAAAAAAAAACAAAACAAAACAAAAAACAGAGAGAGTAAAGAAAGATTTCTTTCCTTCTTTCTATTTTTGGCTTCTCAAGACAGGGTTTCTCTGTGTGGCTCTGGCTGTCCTGGAACTTGCTTGGTAAACCAGGCTGGCCTTGAACTCAGTCAGGTCTGCCTCCCAAATTCTGGGATTAAAGGCATGTCCCACAACTGCTGGGTGGGAAAGATTTCTTACCAGCAGCAGATAAAGAACACTTGGGGGGGTCATTTCCAAAGCAGTGCCCTCCTTCAACAAAGGAAGCTTGGGGACTTGGGACGGAGGCTCTGACCATCCTCCTGCCTCCACCTCCTAAGGGCCAGCGGGGGCTGAGCAGTCTATACATCCTCCTATAAGAAGGCATTTTCAGGGCAAGCACTTCCCTGAGCATTCTCAGTTATGGGTTACAGTCTTCAGCACGCTCAGTTTAGGTTTGTTGTTCAAGAAGTAAAGATGGTGGACATATTTGGGGTGCTAATTCAAGGTAATGGAGGAAATGTTTGGAATACTTTGGGGACATAAAGATGGCAGATGGTAAAGCCTCTAGGAGTGAACAGTTTTCACTGTAAAAATTTAGTTGAAAAAAGTAGTACAGGACACGAATTTGACCCTGGTTCACTTACCTTGCAAAGCAGTGAGACAGACCTCAGGACAGTGGCTTCCTTCTCTGTGACTTTGCCTTCCTTCAAAATGAAGGATAGAGCTTGAGCTAGAACCTGTAAAGCACAGCGGACTGAGACACTGATTCTACTAAGAAGAAGAAAGGAAGACACACACTCACTCCCCCCACACCCCACACCCCCAGCCTATTGGAATGTTCAGCTCACCTGGACAGGTCTGTTCATTGCATGGAGAGTCAGCCTCTTGTCATCTGAATGAATGTTTTAAATACTAGAAGTTCCGCGACTCTTGCTTTCTTCAGAGTGCAACACAGAATAACTTGTTCCAGCAAGGCGTGGTGGTGCATCCCAGGAATGTTCTCGAGAGTGTGAGACGGGAGGACCAAGAGTTCAAGGCCAAGCCTTGTCTACTAGAGAATTCAAAAAAGCCAGCCTACGACTTGTGAGGACCGACCTCAAACAAAAACAGAAAAAGGAATGGAGGGAGGAAGGAAGGAAAGAGAAAGTATACTGTTTCCTTAGACAGAAATGAACTTTCTAAGGTCTCGGAGTGTCTCACAGGCTGATTTTGAACTCCTGGACTCAAGGAATCCCCAACTTTCTATGTGCTTTGACTACAAACTGAGAATTTTTTTTTTATTCTTTCTTTTTTCCTTGTTTGTTGGTTTTATGAGGTTTGACTGTGTAGGCCAGACTGGCCTAGAAGGGACAGTGGTCCTGCCTCTGGGTCTCAAGTATTAGGATTAATTAATTACCAGCCTGATAACACTATATTAGGCTTGATTAGTTAGTGAAAGTCTTAATTAACCAAAAGGAGGATCCTGCTTTGGGACATTTGGATCAACCAACTATCCATCCTGAAGAAAGCTTCTGCCTCCTCCTTCTGGTTCCCTAAGCGACACTCTCTGGACAGATTATCACACTATGGGCGAGAGCTGTTTCAGACTCTGAGGAAACAAACCATTCACCCCTGTGGATTTAAAGATGAACACTTTCATCAGGAGTGCCTTGGTGTAGGTGCTAAACTAGCTTAGCACGAATACTGTTAAACATGAGTTTTCCTAGGCTGCTCCTCTCAGCCTATATTTAGTGCCTATACAAGTCAGCCAGCCATTTGAACGCCCCAACTCCATTAAGGCAAAAGAAGATAAAATTCCTCCAACTTCATTCCTTCTCTACACCTCCCGAAGGAGTTGATGGATGAGCCAATATTCACCCACTTCTAGATGATTTTCCTCTATGCTTGGCATCTGCACAGGCAGGCGTCACTTCCAAGGCTCAGGGCGGGACCCGGTTGCCCACCCGGGGCTCCGGGACGCCTCCTGCAGGCGCTCAGAGCGCAAGGGTGACGCGACTCCCGCGCTTCCTGCTCCGCGGCGGGGCCTCCTCCGCGCCGTGACGTGCCAGGCTGTGACCAAATATGTCCCTTTCCCCTCCCTCGCCGGCCCCATCGCCCGCAGGCCGCCCCGAGCCTCGGGGCTGCCACTTGGACGTCCGCCTGCCCAGGTGTCGCGGGCCAGTCCCCCGCGCGGCGTCCCCGACGCGATGCCCTTCAGGAAAGGTAGGAGGTCCCCGGGTTCCCCGCAGGTGCGGAGACCCTTGTCCCCTCGGGGGTTCCGCCTTGCCTCCTCCCATCCCGCACTGGTCATCCTGCCGCGCGTTACGCCCCTTCGCTCTGCGCTGCACCCGCAAGTCCTGCACTGTCCCCTGCAGTCTCGTAGTGTCCGCGGCTACACCACGTGGATGCGGGAACCCCCGCTGGGCTGAGAGACGGATAGCGCAGTGCTAGTACTTCTAGCTAACCCAAGGATCCCACTGCGTCCCAGCCCCGGGATGCAGACAGAACACCGAACCGGGAATTTTAGGGTTTGTTTCTGGGAAGCTTGGGTCATTCTATTGGCCTGAGCTTGGCAGCCTGGGGCGCATAGGAAGGCAACTGCAGAGCGGGGGAGGCCGCGTCGTATGCACGGCAGATCCTATGCTAGCCCTGTGTCTGCACTATCACCCTGGGGAAGTCATTTTTACCCCGCACTTTCAGTTTCCTCCGCGGCAAAATGGGCACAGGAAGAGAGCAGGCTGTGGGAGGACCTGCAGGCGAGTATAAAAGAAGCGAACCGGTGGTCCGTTGAGGTCGGTCTGGCACACACGCAGTGCCCGTCTAGGCTTTGCAGGATCTGCCCACTGCCACTGCTGCGTCTGAGCTCCTTCACCTTGGCGTTCTGCCCTGCAGGCCGGCAGATTCCCATGGCTCACTGCGGGGGTCGTCAGAGTATTTGGTCCCATTTTACAGGCAGGGTTATGAAAGTCTAGTGACGCTCCAAGCCACTGCTTAGAGCTGGGTAGGACTCGGGGCACGATGGTCAAGTCAAAACCTTGAATGGAAGTAGGAGCAGCAGAGGGGTAGACTCTGACCTCTACATTTTTTGTTTGTGTTGAGAGGTGCGTCAGGAGAGCCCCGAGGCTCAGCGGGACTTGGTGGCACGCGCCTGTAATCGCTGTGCTTGGGCAGGTGGGGGAGGGATGGGGGCAGGAAGATCAAAAGTTTAAGGCCATTCTAAACTTCAAAGCAAGTGGGAGGCCCCTTGGGCCACTGGAGACCTTGTTCAAGACAAACAAAAAACCGCCTAAGGCTCTCCCACTGGGCAGGGGACTTGTGGGTAGAGACCTAAAGAAAGCCTGGCTCTCCAGGTGTTGAGACTATAGAGTGTGGCTCTCCCAGCTGCCTCTGCCCACCTTTCTTGCCAAGCTTCTCTTCTTTCATCATTCAGGTGAATGGGCAGGTTATATTTGTGGTTGCTGGGAGGCTATGGTGGCCTTTGTCCCTCATAAGCTAGCTAAGGTACCATTCTCAGCTCCTGGCTGGGAAGAGGGCTGGCTCACACGCCTCTGCTGCTGGAGATATGCAAATGAGAGAGCTGGTCTGAAAGCAGGGGTGATGAGTTCTCTCTGGTCAGCCGACCATGGGTTAAGCCCACAGTCACTGTCCTCAGGGTCTCTGTTGTTCCATGGATAATGTGACCACTCTGTCCCCGAACTGTCTGTCCTGAGGGTGTCAGAGTCCCAGTCACACCTCATTAACTGCAGTGTGAAGAGTCATTGATCACAGTTACTTCTCTCGTATTTATGGTCTCTGGTGGGCAACTGCAAGAAGGCGGAGGTGTTCCTTAGCCTTCACAGTGTTTAGAGGAATGACAGAATTAGGTTGTTCTATTATTTTATATTTGGCGGTGTGGGAGGGGTTGGAGGAAGTGGGGGTAGGGTGGTGGGTTGAGATAGGGTCTCACTATGTAGTCCTGGCTGGCCAGGAGCTCAATATGTACACCAGGTTGGTCAGAAACTCACTATCCACCTGCTTCTGTCTTCCAAGTGCAGGAATTAAAGGTATGAGCTACCATACCTGACTCTCAGTGACTTTAAAATAAGATTTTGCTTTATAGCTTGCCGTGGTAGGTGATAGTACATGCTCATTTTCCTAGCAGTTGGGAGGTAGATACAGATTTTTAAGGATAGGATAGTATGTAGCCCAGGCTGGCCTCATACTTGATCAGAAACTGGCCTTGAACTAATCCTCCCACCACCCTAGTGCGGGGATTGCAGGCCTGGGCTGTCATCTCCAGCCAATAGTTGTTTATTTATGTTAAAGAATTAAGTTATTTAGGGCATTATTAGATTATAAAGGGAAACTATTTGTCAACCGCCAACCAAATTAGGCTCTACTTTTGTTCCTAGTGTTAATCTGAAGAAGCTTTGCTGAACTGCAAGGAAAGGGTCGCTTTCCCATTCCGTGGTTTCTTTCTGAAGGTTCTAGTGTGTAAGAAACTGCTTGGAGGCCATGCTGTCTGGATCTCCCAGATGCTTGGATTTGAGCCAAGGCATAGACTCTGGTGGACTTTGAGTCTGAGGCAGAACTTCCTTGTATGTTAAGTTGTGAGCTTAAAATTTTAAAATTTTATTTATTTGTTTGTTTGCTTTGTGTGGCACACATGCGGTTGTCATCTCAGGAATCTGTTCTCTCTCCACCATGTGAGTCCTGGGGGTTGAACTCAGGTTGTCAAGTTTGGCTGCAAGCATCGCCACCCACTGAGCCACCCCACCGGTCCTAAGTTACAAACTTAGCAGGATTGTTGGCAGCAACCCAGCAAGTAGGAACCGCTGGAAGCCTAGGTGTGGCTTGTGTTGACATCCTGATGAATCATGCTCTGTGACATGGTCAGTTATGAAAGGGACCACTATTTCCCATTCTAATCCTGGGTAGAGGTGGGAGAGCATATGTATACACATGTATCTATATATTTTTTTTTAATTTTGAGCCCTCTGAACATATCAGCTATTCAGAGTATAGCTAAAGTTTAGATATGAAAAAAATCTTTGCTGTTTTCCACCCTAAACCAAGTCCACTCTGATGGATGAAGGAGGCTTTCTCAGTGAGCCAGAGTCCAGGAAGGGCTACTTGCTAAACCTATCCTTTGATCTACTTCTGTCTTTAGTGTTTATTATTGTTGTGTGTGTTTGTGTCTGATGGGTGTGTGTGAGTGCATATCGAGGTCAGAGGGCAGCTTTCAGAGATGGTTCTTCTCCTGTGCGTTCCAGGGATTTAGCTCAGGTCTTCAAGCTTGTGCGAAAAAGTACTTTTCCCTGCCGAGCCATATTCCTGGCCCTCTTCTTATGTCCTGGCAATTGTAAAGCCGGGGACCAGCACTGTAGGAACCAGGAGGAAACATCAGGTCAGCTGAGAAGAGTTCGTTAAAGCTGAAAGATTGGGTAGGACATAGGAAGCCCCTAGAGATTAGCGAGAATGCTGGACATCTACCTCAGGCCCAAGATGTCTGACTGAAGCCCTGGCCTCTGTGGAGGATGCCGGCATCTGGAGGGCTGCCGAGAGACCCCATTTTCCCGGGTCTCTGTTCTCACGGCATTGGCAGCTATGAAGCCAGGAGCAGGATGGTAGTAGATACTGCCCATGCAGATTAACCTGCCTGGCTGTAGTGCAGGGTGGATGTGCCCAGTGATGGACAGCAGATTTGTCGGAACCGTACATATCAACCTTAGGTCCTGCCTCACCTGCAGGAAGCACTCAGTGACAGCTCCTGAATTCCATTAGGGCAAAGGTGAGCGCCTGCATGCCAACTCACCCATTCATCCTTGAAACCGTGTGCCAGCCTTTTCCAGGTAGTAAGGAAACAGATAGATACGGGGCTCCCTCCCTGGAGTTCCCCTCCTGTGCTATCGAGCAAGTGCCAAGAGGAGAAGGTCAGAGGTCGGCACAGGGCTACGATTCTGGCTCTGTTGGTAGAATTCATGCAGAGCATACACTAGACCCTGGGTCCAAGCTCCAGCAGTACAAAACCTGAGTGGTGGTACACACCTGTAATTCCAGCACTGGAAGGGTGGAGGACCTTACAAGATCATCCTTCCTAGCCTGAGCTGTCTGAAACCCCATAGGAGGAGGAGGAAGAGGAAGAAGAGGAGGAGGAGGAGGAAGAAAATTCTGAACACAAATTGCGGTGTGGTGGCAAATGTCTGTAAGCTCCATTCTCAGGAGGCTGAGGCTGGCAGATCTTTGTGAATTCAAGGGCAGACTGAGTTACATAGCAAGACCCTGTCTCATAGAATCAAAACTGTGCACCGTGGTGCAATCCTACAGTTCCAAGCCTTGGGAGGCAAGAGCAGGATTTTAGCAAGTTTGAGGGCAGCCTGGATTACGTGAGGCCCTGTCTCGGAACAAACTAAGAGCAAAGAAAGTAGCGGCACTTTCTTCCCCCACCCTCTCTAACACTGCCTCTAGTGTTTACGAAGATCAAATAAGCAAGTGAAATAGGAAGCCCGAGCAGAGAGCCAGTTCTGAGTTTTTGTTTTTTAAGGATAAAAGTCCTCCACCCCCATCCCATGCCTGCTAAGGAAATGAGACTCTGGACAGAGAGAGGTGCGGACAGACCGAGCTGCGACCTGCCAGCTGCGATGGGTGAAAACAGCCTCTCACTGGTGTCGTATTGTGGAGCTAGTGAGGGTCATCCTTTCTGCTAGGGATTACAGGGGTATGGCCCTTGTTTTTGGTGTCATTGTTGCTGTTTTGACACTTTGTAATATGGGCAGAGTGAGTGGGAAGGGCAATGCCCCTCATACTCTCTGAGGCTCAGGCCATAAGTGACTGTCAGGGAAGCAGGATGCTGGCATCGATCGGTTGGGCATCTTGTCCCTGACTGATCTCCAGGGTGATCGCGACTGTGGCGAGGGAAGATCTTCAGACCCAGGGCTGACTGAAGAAGCAGGTCTGTAGAGCCTG